TGGTGGCTGCTGGGCTACTTTGCTGCAAAATGCCACCAGGTCATACCCCTCAGGATTGCCCCACCAGGGGTAGCAGGAACAGGGAGGCTATGATGAGAATGGGGTCAAGCAGATTGGGCAGGAGGTGGAGGCAGGCAAGCATAGTGATCAGGCAGCGGGTAAGGGCAGGCAGCGGGTAAGGATGGTCAGAAATGCGCAGATACCCTCCTTGCCCCCCTATGTACAGGGACACACACCCAAAGTGCCCACCACCACCAGGCATGCACTTACAGTATGTGCGCACCCTAATTTGGCCAGAACAAGGGATGTGTGTGACATGCCAACTCATGATGGACATGGCCCCGGAGGTACTGTCACTCCTTCCTTCCCTTCTTCCTTCAGTTTTCTTCTTTCACCCACCCTTCCCTTCACCTCTCTTTTCTTTCCTACCCTTCCTTCAAGTCTTCCCCTTCTCATCCGTCTTTCCCTTCTATACCCTTCATTCCTCCTTTCCTTCCTATATTCTGCCCCTTCCCTTCTACACCCTTTCTTCCTTCCTTCCCTTCCCTCTCCCACCCTTATTCCCTGCTATACCCTTCTCTCCCTTTCTTTCTTTACACCCTTTCCCTTCTATACCCTTCCTTCCTCCTTTCCTTCCATTTTTCGCCCTTCTTTCCCTTCTATACCCTTCCTTCTTTCCTTTCTTCCTTTATTGCATCCCTTCCTTTCTTTACACCCTTTCCCTGCTGTGCCCTTCCTTCCTCCTTTCTTCCCTTCCTTCCCTTATTCCATCCCTTTCTTTCTTTACACCCTTCCTTCTTCCTTTCCTTCCATTTCTCGCCCTTCTTTCCCTTCTTTGCCCTTCCTTCTTTCCTTTCTTTCTTTAATCCATCCCTTCCTTTTTTTCCTTCTGTAACCTTCATTCCTCCTTTCCTTCCTATATTCTGTCCCTTCCCTTCTACACCCTTTCTTCCTTCCTTTCCTTCCCTCTCCCACCCTTATTCCCTGCTATACCCTTCTGTCCCTTCCTTTCTTTACACCCTTTCCCTTCTATACCCTTCCTTCCTCCTTTTATTCCATCCTTTTTCTTTCTTTCTTTACATCCTTCCTTCTTCCTTTCCTTCCATTTCTCACCCTTCTTTCCCTTCTATGCTCTTCCTTCCTTTTCCCATCCTTCTTTTCTTCCTTTACTCCATCCATTCATTTCTTACCACCCTTTTTCTCCTTCCCTTGCCCTTCAGCCAATCAGGACAGAGACATTCCCAGGAAGTCGGGCTCTTCAGGGAAGATCGGTACAATCCCAGGACTGTCTCTCAGGCTTCCTCGGATATAGCGGTTTGTATATTGGGCACCGTGAGAGGATTTCTGACATCGGAGAAGGTGCGAGCCGCTCTGAGGACTGTATAACGCGCCGCGGAACGCCGTCGCTAACCACCGCGCCCAAATCGATTATCTCTGGTTTGGCCGCTGGTTACAGTTCTCATGCCGGGTGGGTGTTGGAGGACTGAAGCCTCCTGTAGGTTCTTCTGATCTTCATCTCATCCAGAGGTGTGGGAGGAGCTCTGAGGACGGGTCGGGAGGGTCAATAATGCTGAAGATGATGTGATGTCACTGTGATGTCATAGAAGAACGTCATTCTCTCATCTCCGGTGGCTCCCTGGGCCAGCTCAGCCACGCAGCACCGAATCTCAGAAAGAAATGACTTCAGCAATACAAGAAATGATTTTACCAACAGCTAAGAAATAGATGTCTAGCACATTGATGCTCCAACTCCACTGTACAGGGCGCCAGGATTGGGTCCCGGATGGACGGTATATCCCTCCCTTTGTTTAGGTGGGTGGTCCCGTTAAGGTCGCCTTGTATTCAGGGTTCTCGCCAAGCAGGGGTGAGGGGGTTCCGGGTCGGACTTGTAAGGGAAACCGCTAGGCAGTCTTCCCAGGGTTGTTAAATATACATCCCGGAATCCGGAGGCTCAGAGAGATTTTTGGGTTGGGACAGAACCTCCATCCCTGGCTACAGCCAGTTCTGGTAATGAAAGGGTTAACCCGCCAGCCAGAGGGTGTGTTTAAAAGGGAACAGGAAGCCAGTGAGTCAGTCTGTGTCTGTGAGGAGTGTTTGGAGCAGGACACATGGCTATGCGTGGTAAGCTGTGGAATACAGTCTGCCGAGACACTGCTGGGGTACCTGTGTCCATACTGGAACCCTTTGTGAACAGGCTGGGACTCTAACCCCTGAGGCTGGGACTCTAACCCCTGAGGCTGGGACTCTAACCCCTGAGGCTGGGACTCTAACCCCTGAGGCTGGGACTCTAACCCCTGAGGCTGGTCACATACATATATGTTACATGACACGGTTACATTGTTGCCGTGTGTATACAAAGAAGATTTCATGTAGAAAGCATTAAAACGTATGAAAGTTTCTTTACGTTGAGGGGAGTTTGCGGCGTTGACACGCACGGCACACGGCAGTCCACCTGTAAACGCACAATTCACCCAACACGCAGCTGTTATCAGGATTCAGTCTGGTGGGTTTAGATTGTAGACGAATGTAAAATGTTCCTGTTCCCCCCTCGGACTCTGTCGGGGGGGGGGGGGGGGGAATTTCTC